TCTTCATTTCCTTCTGGTTTCCTATCCTGTGTCATCCAATCACTTTTTTCTTCTTCAAAAAATTCAAAACAAAAAGAGTTTCCCATGGGAAGCATTTTTATAATTAGTTCCAAATTTCTTAAAATTAACTGCTGGGTCCACTGTTATTAAATATTAGCCAATATATCTAATGTTATTTTTCTCCATTCTGTATTAGTAAGGTGAATTTAAGCGTTCTCCTTTAGTTGTAATCTTCATTTCCTTCTGGTTTCCTATCCTGTGTCATCCAATCACGGTTTTTTTTTTCAAAAAATTCAAAACAAAAAGAGTTTCCCATGGGAAGCATTTTTATAATTAGTTCCAAATTTCTTAAAATTAACTGCTGGGTCCACTGTTATTAAATATTAGCCAATATATCTAATGTTATTTTTCTCCATTCTGTATTAGTAAGGTGAATTTAAGCGTTCTCCTTTAGTTGTAATCTTCATTTCCTTCTGGTTTCCTATCCTGTGTCATCCAATCACGGTTTTTTTTTTCAAAAAATTCAAAACAAAAAGAGTTTCCCATGGGAAGCATTTTTATAATTAGTTCCAAATTTCTTTCATTTCAAACATTTTTGTAACTTTTAAAAAATCAAACTTCTACATACCCTTTCAACTATTTATTCTGCTTTATTTTTTAAAAAATCCTTAAACTTGTATTTAAAGCTTTTTTCATTAAGTTTGAAAGAAATTCACCTGGAGGTTTCAGATTTGTTAATCCAAAGGTTCCTAACAGTTAAAAAAGCAGTTAACAAACAATTTTAGAAAAAGAATTATGCTACCCCAAAGTCCTTTCTGAAGGTTCAACTGCACTTTCAACAGAATGGTTACTTCCTTGTCTTGCAGAACTTTCAATTTGCCAGACATTGCTGTCTTGTGGCCATGTGAGTAACAACTGTCGGAAGCACTTGTGGTCAATCTTAAGTCTTCCTGTGCTGAGAAGATTATCAAAGAGCCTCTCCACTCAAACGCTCTTCATTCTGCTGCAATGCTTTTAGCAGAGCTGTCCCTAGTTCACCATTTCTTTTCCAGAAGTCCACCCCAAACTCTTTTGGATACACAGCAATTTTCTCCCTCTTTGTTAAGCAAATGTCTAATTATATAGTTCTACCACAATGGAACTGTAGAAAAAAAAGTGCTACAAGACAAAAAAAGCCATAGACCTCTGAGTTACTTTTTCTGTGAACAGCTTGATGGAGAAAACAACAATGCTTAATATTGGGTTAAAAAGAGCTTTTTGTCCCAGTTATAGTCTTGTCTTAAATATTATTAAGAATTATAAAGAAGAACTTTTTCTTCCCAGACTGTCTATTACCAATCTTGTTCAATTACCATAGCCCAGCATTGATAAAGTTTTCTGAAGTTTTTAAAAATATTGGGAGAGGTTAATACCAAGGCTTACAAGGAAAATTAAGCCTTACATTCACTGATCCTGACAACAACTTAAACCTATTAATTAAGAATAAACAACAACAAATGCATCACACTGAGACCACTAGGAATAGGAAGCTTGCAATTAATGGATCAGGACAGTGCTCAAGTCCAAATGTTCACCAGGTACAAAACTATAATAATCCAAAAGAATAAAATTTAAGATGAATCTGCTAATTTAAGAATAGTTGAAAGCCTGGTGTCAAGAATATCTTGTTCCAGCAACAATTAATTAATTAAGAATCGGCATTAATCTATCCTGGAATAAAAGGAAGACACAAAGTAGCATTGTAACCCAAATTCAATAAAAATAAAAGACCTATGAATAGCTAAAGTTGAAGTACAGAAGAAAATCTCATAGCATGGGTAAAAGAAACAAAGAGTTAATATAAAGAATTATCAGTGCATTGTTGGTTTTGTTGATGTGCTGTGGTTAAGTTTACAAATGCACTCTATGCATTCTCTGCTTCTTTAAGCTTTAAGGTATCTTTAAAATAAAACAGGTTCTATTTTCAAAAGGCATTCTAAAAATTCAGCATCCTGACAAGTGAATAGTTGAGTCACAGGATAATATACAGAATAGACACAAATACCCAAGCTAAACATAATAATGTGGCTTTTTCTAGATTGTTGTATGGTCTTTTGACTGGTTAATGGGAATATTGGGAGCAACACCTTGTGCAAGGTATCAAAATTATGGCTGTGATTGACATAATCAAAGTTCTGCCACTTGCCCATTGCCTTACACATTAAAATGGGCAGGTCTTTAATTGCCTGGTTGTTCCCATTTTGACACTGTTGACTCTTTTTCCACATGTACCAATTTTGTTGTTTAAACTTATTTCTAAGTTCCTATTGTTGTTATAACTAACAATATATATAACTAAGAAATCATGTATGTATTTACAGACCATTTTGTATTCACTACATGCTTGTATACTCCTCTGCCTACTTGATTACAATCTTTTGGAGTACCTACTCTATATGGCTTAAGACAGTGAACTTTGGTACGCATGCATTCTGGGTATGTTCCTGGGCCTTATGTGGTTTGTGGTATATTTACTGCAGTGACATGTTGGTCTGGCATCTCTTCAGTTCTACTATATACAATTGTAATTTTTTGTGACTTTTAGTTTATATCTTAAGAATATGAATCATAGGGCAAGGTATTCATCCTGCATTTTCCCCCTGTAACACTATTCTAATTCCTGAACTATCCAAGTGGCAATTGAGGATTTCACCATTTTGCGAAAATAATATCACTAATACCAATCTTGTTTAGATACCATTAGTACCAAGCATAATAACTTCAGATTTGATTCAAGATTATCTAGTATCTTTGCTTTAATTTGTGACTTTTGTATTATGTCTGTTGAAGTGTTAATTGAATTCCTTATGTTTTATCACCTTTATAAACTGCTTTTATTATTCTGAATATTGTGATTTTGTTTTTGTAAAATGGCTTTAAAATAAAGATGAACAATAAGCTAGTCACACAATATTACAAGTATATAAAATTATACTATTTAAAATATGAATTCAAATTAAGGAAGGCATGCTTTTGAATTATTATTGTAGAAAATAGAGACTTTCCCAGGCTTCTGATATTTAATACCCATTATATCCATATCATTTTTTTATTTGCAATATTGTCTGTATTATATTAATGTATGTAGAAACTGCCTTAAGAGTAATAATTTAAGCCAAAAATCCTCTATTAATAATGTATATTATAATAATACTATTTTTTTAAAATTAATAATTGCATGTCTGAAAGTCTGAAATGTTTATAAATTGGAGAAAAACATGGAGATATTTTACTGGAATTGGGTAAGAAAACAAGCAGTATTTACTGAGAAATGTCCAATTCTTTTCCAATAATCTGTTGAAAAAAAGCTGTTTAGGAATGAAAACATGGTAAGCAAAATGCTTATTGCTCTTGTTAGTATTTCAAATCACCCCTAACCCATTTGATTTTCATGTTTAAATAAGCAAACTATTTGTTACATATGTTTACATGTAACTGCTGCCTGACCTTTGCTACAGTCACAAAATGGAAACAGCAATATACACTAAGATACCCAGACTATTATACAATAGAGAAAAATTAAACTATGCAATCATTAGATAAACATGTATTTGCAACTTTTACTTAACAATATTAGTTGATGAAAATTCTCTATGTAGAAATTAAACAATTTTAAACAAATGCTGTGTTTTTTAAAGTTGATAACTAGCATTTACTTACCTCCCAGTCCTTAATAGCTGTTTCATCATCAACTGAATCTTCACCCGCCTGTGTTTCAATTTTTTTTACTACGATAAATCCTGGCTCTCTATTTGATTCTCCCGTATCTTCTGTATATAATTCTGGACTCCACTGAACAAAAAATGCATACAGATGTTCAGTCCTTTGAAAGGGAAAATGAAAAATAAATGGATACCCATTCAGATTTGCACAAAGTTGGAAATATTGTTTTTTTAAGTAGTAATTCACTGTATCTTTTCACTGTCAGTTACTCATGCTTTTCTCTGAAAATCAAGAGAAAGAATATTCATATAAAGTCTATTGTCTAATGTAAGGCAGAACCATGGTAGACAATATTTTCAGTATCTTAGCACATAACTAGTACTGATTATGGCATCCTTAACAGATTATAATTCTGAAAAGGGCTTCTTAGTTTCATTAGGAAAAAGAAGAAGTGAATAGAAGAGGACAACACATCTAGTTGGCAGGATTAAACAACTAGCTAAGTTGGATTGGACTTGCTTAGTATTTAGGCAACATAATCAAGCTTGATTCAAGGGGTTTCTTTAGAAGAAAAGGACATAACAGGAAAGACCTGTTTATCTCAAATACATACTAGAAATCAAAGATTAACAATTTATCAGCCATGACAAATGTTTGCTCATCTAGTCTGGCATGATCTTCCCAGAGTGCCCAGGCAAATGCTTCTGAGAAACACAATAAGAGAAAATATTAATAATTCTTCCTATTGTTATCACTGAGAAAGTGGTAATTCTAGACATTCTGTTTCAGAAAAGATTAAGATCTATGGAAATTCTGATTCTCTTATTATCTATGAATTTCTCAAAATTCCAATACTTAACGAACTCTGGTAAAGACGCTTGGCAGCATCACTTGGTCAGCCTGATTAAAAGATATAAAAATAAGGTTACCAGGCCACAGTTTGGCATGAGCACAGGAAGTCTATGGAGGACTTAGAAGAGTGACTTGTGACCTTCTTTGCTGGCATCAGAGAAGGTCACAAAAGGTGAGCACCTGACTAGAAGGTACTTGAACTGTCACAACTGCAAGCCATTTGCTAAATGTCCAAATCACAATCATGTGACTGTGAGGATCCTGTAATGGCCAGAACTTCAAGGGTTAGTCATAAATACCATATGTGCAGCGCTGAATGGTGGCTGAATGATTAGTTGATAAGAAAAGACTATTTGTAAAGAGGCAATTAATAAGAACACAATACCCAAAAGTTTGAATGATTATTGTTGTGAAAACAGTAATAATAAATGATCAATTGCTGGGATGATCATTTCAATAAGGCAATAGCATCTCATTAAGGAGTCAGGTCTGCTATAATCTTTATATCGTTCACTTGAATATAATCCACTAGAAAACAAATGGCCAATTTTAATAAATAGAGATAATGTATCAAGAAAAATTCTGAAACTATCAAGTAAGAAACAAACAACAATTCAGCAAACAAAAACACCACACACTGAATTAAGAAAACTGATGGTAAGAGACAATAAAATAATATTTCTTGTATAGTTGAAACCTTTAAATTCAGAAGGATGTGGAATTGTCTCAATATGAAAATAGCTTTAATATTAATTTAGAAATGGAAAGATAAGTGTCTTCCTACAATGAAGATACATAGAAAATATCCATCTTACCTTTCTGATGGCACAGCAAACCAATATTCATGCTTCTTATCTCTTTGTGCATATTGCTGCATCAATGCGCTTGCTTGTGATACAAACGTTTTTCGCATTGGCTTGCCCACTTTAAGACACAAGAACTTGTATAACCGATGTCTTCTCTTCTCTTTTATTAGAGGGCCTTTTAAAAAGAGATAAAACGCCAGACTGGTTGGCAATTTTGCTTTGCTAATTATTAAATATTAAATTAATTACTGTATAAATTTGGGCGCATCTTTAAAAACTGATTATTGTTACTCTGCTAAATATTAACTTTAGCTATTATAGCATGTGTGCGCAATCTGCAGTTAAGGCTACATGTGAACATCTAGCTCTCTGCTTATACCTCCTCTAATCCCAAACCTTCAGATCTCAAATTTGGAAAGTAAATAGTGACATGGATTTATCAAACCACAGCAGAGACTTAAGACACCATGAAACTAAACAGTCCTAAAATCAGGCCCATATTTTTTATTTTGAGGAAGCTGAAACAAACCCGTATTTTGCATGTCTTAAAATATTGACTTTATTTCTTAAGCCCCAACCTATAGAGGGGGAAAAAAGAAGTGGGTGCAAACATTAAAGCATAGGAAGTTTGCATCCACTTGTTTTCCTTTATTAGACAATTTACCTTATATTGGCAGCTATGCTTCCTAAGGCCCAACTCCCAATTGCCTGACTATGCATTACAACGTAGGATGCAACAAATGAGCTCCTGCTCTCTATCTACATTAAATAAGCACCTGTGACTAAAGTTAACCGCCATTGACTGGTTATGATATATAACCATACAACAAATGTTGCATGATTCATTTATTACAATGTTAATCAGCACAAAGGAATGCAGACCTGACATTGTTAAGGGAAGACTTTGACAAAAGTTTACTCAGACTCTGGCAAAGAAACAAAAGCTTGAGAAAGAACTAAAAATAACACCACTAATTTTTGTTATTTTACTCCATAAATAAATAATGAAGAATATTTCTGGACTCTCTTGCTGTCCCTGTTTCTTGATCCTTGCCTATCTTGAAGGGCTAACAATTGGCCAGAAGAAACATTTCTAAAGAATGATCTTCTCAAATACCAAATCACCTGCAGACTTCCAGACTTCCAAATCACTCTATGTGTTTGTGTGTTTTTATTCAGGAAGAAAGGAATTTCATGTGAAAGGGTGGGGGGATAAGCTTGAATACAAAAGCATGAAGCCATTTCATGATGATGACTGTCTTTAAATACAAAATATAGATTTTAAAAGTCCAAATAACTAATACAATCCAGGAAACATATTGCTGTGTGTATCATTACTTGCTGCAACCATATTCTATCAACACTGATACAAGTAACTTTTAGAAACAGAATACTTTTTAGCACCATAGAGTTTCATAAGAAATTTATAGTTAAAAGTAGGACTAATTAAACATAAATGTGGAAGCTATGCTACTGAGATAAGATTTCCTTAAGGGGAGATGGAAAAATTATTAAAAACATTTAAAATTGGCCCCAAAAAACAAAAATATTTGTAGAAACAATACTATATTCAGAAACAGCCACACTGCAAAGTAAGAGGTAGGAGGCAATAAAGCAGCCGTCAAAAATACCAAGCCCAGATGAAACATCCATTAAACACTTTAATGGCATAAGAGGCAGTTAAAGTGCTAACAGCTCTTTGTCAACAATACAAGTAAGTGTTACATGATCTAGAAATGTAACATGATTAATGGAGAAAACAAGATAATTTAAAATATATCTTTGTTTTATTTATCCAACATAAACACACACACACACACACACAAATAAATAAATAAAATAAATTAAGTTGGGGAGGGGGAAGTGGTTAAAATACAGAAGGCAATGAGACTGGAATGAATAGGATTGCCATCTTGTATTTAGCTCTAATTTACTCTAATAATTTAGACTTTTTTAATTCATTTAAGTTTGTGCAAACTTACATAATTCAAAAATAAAGATATTTCTGACAATAGATACCAAATAGTTAAAGCTATGATAATAGCTTTAATAACTAATAATGGAGAAATAGTTGAAAAATGGACACTGAAAATGACCAAGACATAGATGAGAAATGTTTTGAATTATGGGTATAGAGACAGGTTACTGAGAATATCAAGGACTTCAAGAACCACCAATAAGTTCTGGAAAAATAAGAGGCAAAGATTAGCTAGCAGAAAGTGACATATTTTATAAATGTGATGCAAATAAATGATGGAATGTCAGGCAAGGGAGGTAACAAGGAAGATAACGGAAGCAGTGAATAGATTGCATCAAAAAGCATCCAGATCCAGGAGAGCCATGTTACATGTTCCATCTACAAAAGAGATGGTGGGTCCCAAGAAGAGACTCTTTGCTGCCATGGGGACTGTCCTGTAGAACATTATCCGTCCCCGATATTAGATTTGTCCCATCCCTCTAAGCCTCTGGGAAGGCCTTGAACACATGGCTCTGCCACCATGCTTGCTCCAGCAACGATGGGAAGTTCTTCCAATGGCTGCACATAAATGAATGAAGTCTGCAGCTGATTATGATTTTGTGTTTTTAAACTGATGACAGATACTTTTTATATTTTTTGTATAACCTGTTTTTATTGTTTATACCAGATGTTAGCCAGCCAGGTCACTGGGACCAACCTAGATTGGATTCTGAATTGATGATGATTATGATGATTCTTGTGGATTATCAAGAGTGACAAGAGCCTTCACAGTACAGTGGTAAAAAATAAATATGTTGCTAAAAGTTAACACTGGGCTGTCTTTTGCTTTCTCTCAAAGAAATCAGATCCTTCAGAAATAGTGCATTTCGCATTACCCCATGATGCATTTTGATTGCAATAAAATTGGGAATATAATAATATTTTTTTCCAACCATGTGCATGAAGAATAATTAAGATTTATTGAGAAATTTTATGGTTATACTATATTAAGTTTAAACCCTTACCTTCTACGGTTCCATCAACTGTTGCCATTTTGTGTTTCATTTCTTTATGCACTTCCTGGTGGATGGTATCCCTCTGCTGTTTGGTTTGTTGCATAGTATGGGTCTTCCAAAGCGTCCGCAGCGTCTCTGTATCTGTCTCAGAACCTTGAGTTGGCAATTTCACAGTTTCCCCTTCATTTGTGACCTCTTTCTGAGAATCAGTTTTTTCAGAATCCAAATGCTGCTCATCCTCTGGTACATTTCCTTCTACAGGTTCCTGACATGTTCCATGTTGTGCTTCAGCATCAGAAATAGATCCTTCTACAATATTCTGAATTTTTATTGCTTCCTCCACTGCTTTCGAGTCCACAGTATCATTAACAGAAGTACTGCCATCATCCAAAGGCTGTTCTCCACTGGAGTTTACATCCCCAATAGTATTAACAGAGTCTGAAATATCCTTTACAGATTCTCCGCCAGTGTGGTTTACTGTCTGGACCGATTCAGATGACGCTCCAGAAGATTTGTCTTGTCGAAGGTCATCCAGAAGCTCTTCTCGTATAGGAGACAGTTCTGACTCCGTGAAAACATCTTCTGACAGAGATTCTTCTGTACTCCTTGGAGCAGTACTGGCACTATCATTTCCTGTATCTCTCATTCTTAATTCCATTTCATCAGTATTACTTCTGGTAATTTTCTTGAAGTGGCAGAGATCTTTTACAGATAACTGACCTACATCACTAAAAAGTAAAGAAGACCTCTGTGTTATAACCTGAGAAAACAAAATGCACATAACTTTTTTTTAAAACTAGGATCACTTTAATAGAACCAGTTTGATAACTATTCTAAGCAGTTATACAACATATCTCTGTAGAGGACAATCCCCCACCTCCCACCCCATTAGCAGTGTACAAGATTTATTTATTGCAAAAGTGTCTATAATACTAATTCTATGAGCTTGGGTGGTGTACAATAAAATAAAGAGATATCCCAGTTGCTTTTAATAACTACATAAAACACGAGTACAAATAAATAGGATGGCACTTAAAATAGCTAGGTACCATAAGCCTATTTAAAAAGGATGGTTTTTAAAATCTTGAATGTTAGAAAAGAGAAAGTCAGACACACATCTGTGGGCACTGTATTCCATAATGTGTGGGGTACAATGGAGAAAACTTCATTTCTAGCATACCCGTAGCTCAGGAAAGGTTTCTTTATAGAATAGTCTTATATTCAAACATAGACAACTCGTTGAGCTACCTTAAGAGGGACAGAATTCCTCATTATTGTTGTAGTAGATGTAATTTAACTTCTGTAGGTTGCATGATAAAAACAATTTTCCTATTTTTATTTTTGTATTTACAGGCTTCAAAGAAACAATTATTTGGGAGAAATTCTATGGAGAAGAATTTGCATGAAGAATCCTATGCTAATCAATAAAACAAAGTTCTGCTTATACATAATAATTGTGTCACAGAAACAACCAATATTTTATTAAAAGTGATTAATAAAGCTGGTCACAAATCCATGTAGATAATTACCTTATTTCCCTGAAAATAAGACAGGGTCTTCTTTTGACCTCCAAAATAAGTACTTGGGCTTATTTTCGTGGAGGTCTTATTATTTTTGAGGTGTATGAGGTAGCGAGATTGGTCACCTCATGACTGCTCCTGTGTTGCAATATTTTCAAGGAGGGCTTATTTTAGAGCATGCGCTCAAAAGCTTGATTGGGCTTATTATCCAGGGAGGTCTCATTTTCAGGAAAACAGGATATGAGAATCTGGTAACATGCCAAATCAGAAAACATGTCTAAAGTAACTTTCTAAAGCTGCCATGCATATGCAAATGCATTTTTTTTCATTTGAAACATACAGAGAGAGATGTGTACACATACATACACTAATCTATCTTACATGGGTAACGAATCCTGTATTTTGACATCTGCATCTTTATACATAGCAGCTGACATCACTTCTTCCATTGGACACATGATGCCATACTCTTCACAGCCATTTTGTTGAACCAATGGATCTGTTTTATGTGGATCAAACATTATATTGTTTGGTGTCACTAGGAGCACACCGGTGACAGTTCCCTAAGATAAGGAGAAAAACAATCAAACTTCCTGCAAAAATAAACTAAATCTTTTCAAATTATGTCTAGAAGTAATCTAATCACTTCATTATTTAATGAACACTGAGTACTTCTATTAAAGTCTAACAAGCACATTCATCTTTCTTATAAATCACTGAAAATTGTAAATTCCTAGGAAATATAATCTTTAAGGAAAAACAGTTTTGCCTAGTTAATATTATACCAATATATAGAAATTATTGCTATGAAAAAGGAAGTTTTAGCCATAATTCACAAATATTGTAAAATGGTATTGTAAGATAATTTTGCATTTAAATTGTTTAATTGAATAGAACTGTCTTCAACAAATCTTAGTATAAACTTATTTCAGCAGTTTTATTTCCATATAAGATAAAACAATTTTTAAAAAAGCAGTAATTTTATAAGTCATGCTACAAATAATATCAAGTTACATATTTCAAAGACTTTATGAAATTGTGGTTAATTTTAATGAAGTCTTTATCAATATATATAAACTTTTTTTTTCAAGATGCTGTCCCTAAAAAGGAAAAAAATCCAATGCATTTCTGAAGATATGAATTGCTTGCATTTGAAAGGGTTACCGGTATACATCTCTGAAGAAGTAGAAATAGCAATAGCAATAGCAATAGCAGTAGACTTATATACCGCTTCATAGGCCTTTCAGGCCTCTCTAAGCGGTTTACAGAGAGTCAGCATATTGCCCCCAACAATCTGGGTCCTCATTTTACCCACCTCGGAAGGATGGAAGGCTGAGTCAACCCTGAGCCGGTGAGATTTGAACCGCTGACCTGCTGATATAGCAGTAGCGTGCAGTGCTGCATTTAACCACTGCGCCACCTTGGCTCTTATGTGCTATATATAATTTGAGATGCATACTATTTATACGACAGTAAAGATATATTTAACAAATAGATAATAAATAAGATTGGGAAAAGGTAAGAAAATTCTCTCTCTCTCTCTCTCTCTCTCTCTCTCTCACACACACACACACACACACACACATACACACACGTAACTAAATAGGACTGAAGCCTATGTAACAGAAAAAATATTTCAAGAATATCATTCCTAAATATAATATATAAGAATCTTATAGATTAAGAATCTACTTAAGAATCAAGTACATAAATAAAAACAATTTTCATTTGAAGTAAAGCTCTTGCTTATAAGATCAATTTGGTTTTTATCCTTTACTCTTAGAGATTCAGAAGTATTTATTTTGGAAAGTTATGTTAAAACTCTTGACTTTTATTCAGTTCACTATAGAAAGTGCCAGAGGAAGGAAAAAGAGGCACAAAGGCAGGATATGGATTGAGTTATATCCAGTACAGATTGAAGAATTGATGTATGTTTTTACTTCATGCTTTTACTGTAATGAGGAAAATCTACAGAGAAAAATATTTTGCATGTTGCTGAGTCCTTAGGTCAATTGAAGGAAAGGACGAAAAAAGGAGGAAGCAAAAGTTGATACAGGCAAGATGAATGGAGGAAACTAGAGATGGAAGGAAAATCCCATGCATTTCAGCCACTTAGTCACTCCTGTTTTAAGCAGCAGCAGCAGCTTTTCATATTGGCTAAGAAAAAAGTATTCTCAAGAATAGCAGCATTTCCACTACCTAGGTTTCTATCACTTCTTGTCTTTATTGCCTTTCCTCGCTGGAAGGAGGAAGGTGAATATGAATGCAATTTTAAGTAGTTCTTTGAGTTATATGTATGTGAGCAGCAATCTTGAATAAATGCAGATGGAAAATTAATTAATTAACTGGGGTATCTTTTTAATAGGAACTTAAGAGTTTATTTAGTACTTTTTTCTTATCCTAACATTGTCCCTGCTTCATTTTTTTTTTGTGAGGCGAGTGTGACTTCTGCAAGTTATACTCACAGAGACACAATAAAATCCCTACATACATTTTCTAAGGAAGACATTAGATTCTTCTGGAATTGCTAATAATAAATTGACAAGGACGGAAAGTTAGACATTAAGGACTTCCTGTCTGTGAAGTTTTTGTTTTCTGTTTTGTCTTCCTTTTGGGGAGATCATTTTAAATTCAGAGAATATCCTCTTCTCCAATAAACATGGCAATTTTAAATGGAAAACTTTCTTAGTTTGGGCCATGTTTATTAAATTTCAATGCCTGAAGTGAATTGATGTTTCTATAGCATAACTGGCTAAGAATTTGTAAGATATCTGGCTAACATTTGTAAGATAGCATAAGTATATCCTTTCCTATTGTCTGAGAACAGAAAAGATGGTCTAAATATTAAGATTGTGGAAGCATATATGCAAGAATCCTTTAAAAAATGCTATTTATAAAAAGATGACAGAACTCCATGGTCCACATAGTTAATAAAAATCTATGTGTATCTTCTGTTGCATCTTTCAACTCAGCTGCTACTTTTTTTCATTAGATATTATCATCATTACTATGACAAAGTGGATGAATGTGGCATGGTAATGTATAGCTTTGATAAAGTTGTAAGGTTAACCTCTACTTATAGCTAATATCAATTACCAAAATTCTTCTATCCCAATAAAAGGAAAATTCTCAAATAACTTAGGTAACACATTATTTTATGTAAGAAACATATAATTCTGTACCTTATTACTTGTAATGTATTTACAATTGATCTTGAGAAATTTTTCTGTGAAAGCTTCCTCCTCTTCTGACGTGGATGACACAACCCTTGTAGACCGAACACAGGGATATGCTGGTATGGCTGCTGTTTCTTTCTTTTGGGCCCCATCTGAATCCTATAGAAACAAAAACTGCAGTGATGGAACCAAAAATAGGATGTGTTTTATAAATGTAGCTTATCCTTGCCAAACCCATGTAGTATAACAGAAAAGTTCAAAAGCAAGTCAATGAAAAAAATGAGTCATTTTAAACATCACCATATGTGTTAGAAATGAATTATACAGACAATATTAAATCACAAGTTGGTATATGAAAGGTCTACAGTATTTCACAAAGCTATATAGACTATAGCATTATAGTATTATTTAATATTAAAGATACCAACATTCACGATATTAACACTGCTGTCCAATGCTAACATCCACATCAACCTTTCAAAATATTTGAAAACAGAAATAGATTTTTATATCAGTTTGCCTCAGTTCTGATCAAATCAATGAGACATGCATACTACAATTTGACTACTTTTCAGAAATGCGTCTTTGGGGGGAAAGTATTCTAGATGTGTGTAGGCACACACAGACATATACTTACAGCTGTCTTCTCAGCTTCAGCTTCTGAAGATGTAGGTGACAAAGGACTTTCAGGACTAAGTGAGGGGGAACTCTCCACACTGGAAAGATACTCTGGATCAGGAACATATAAAACCTATAAAAACACATTTTGATTAAATCTGATTTAACTGGTGTAGACATTATTAATTTAAAATTAAAACATTATTTGCACATGGCTCAAAAATACATGTCTACATAAATGTCATAGAAAACCGCAAACTTTTTAATATTGTGTTCAAAAATTTGTTTTTGCATAAATCAGTAGCAATTTAGAAATGATACAGAAATTATTTATACGTTATCTGATATTTCATAAAATACCTTGTGGATAATACAAATTTTATTGTGCTTATCTTCAATTAGTTTTTTAGAGTTTGCTTAGGATTTCATATCCACATTTCATATCCACATTTATATGTGATATGAATTTCATTCATGTTATGTTGACTCCAATAAAGACTTTATTTCCCTTTTTCAGAATTTGCATAGAAGTAATTTTTCTAATCAACTTTGAAAAATGTTAAAGGTAAATGTATGCCCTTATTCTTTTATTACGGAATTGTCCTGTTACTTAAGATATCCTGCTAGAATCATGATTCTTTTCTATTTAAACTTTTAAAATGGATCTGGAGTTTATTAATTAGTTAGCTTTAACCATTCAGTCATTTGACTCTTGGTGACTTTGGTAAGTGTTCTCCATGCTACCCTGTCAAGCACAACTTCTTTCAGTTGTTGGATGTTCATCTTTGTATCAGCTTTGATGGTACCAAGCCAGTGAGTTCTTTGCTTATCCTTTCTTCCTGATCCACTAATGTCACAAGGTAGTTATCGCCAAAAGAAGGAATGCATATAATGTTCAATAAACCATTAATAACTCTTCATCTATTTTTACTGTACTTATGTTATGTAGTAGACAATACCTGTCCAGGAACAACTGCTCTGGAAAACAGCTTGTTTAACTGCACCAATTCATTAGGCGTAGTATCAAACTTCAAGGCCACAGTATTCAAAGAATCTCTTGACTCCACCTGTTTACAGAACATAAATGCAATTTTAAGTGATTTGTAGCCAAATCTTTCCTACGTTCTTGAAAGTCTAGCATTATATTGTATAGTTTTAAAATAAAATAGCAGCCAAGAAAAATGTACAGGCCTACATTTTATTAGTAGGATTGAAATACAGTAAAACAATAATTCAGTTGCTCTAAATAATCTGGCGTTGAATAAATTTCAAAGATAAAAAGACTAACTAACCAAATATTTGAGATGCCTACAATTTTATTTGAACAATTTAAAAGTGGTTGACTTACTTAAGAACCAAGTCTAATAGAATTGTTTTTAAAAATAAGCTCTTGTAAAAAATTAATCAGCAGCATGCAGTTTTCTCAAATTTTAAATATTTTCTTAGCTGCTGTACTGGGAATAAAAAGCTGATGTTTCCAATTTGACATACAAACTGTTATTACCATAAAATGAGGATTACCTAGTATTCCAAAGAAAGAAAGGAGCAGAGAGTAGGACAAAACACTAATCATTATAAAATGTGATTAATTTAGATGAAAATAAAACTTTACCCTCCAGCAGCAACACCAGTTCATTAAAACAGAATTAATGAGTAATTTATCTGGTGATTCCATGTCCCAAGCCCTATAAACTATTTCTGATTTATTTCTAATAAAAAAATTAAGACAGTTACTTTTTAATGTGCACTGAAGACTTTAGATTCTTAGATTCAGCATACACTAAGATTCATCATACACCAAGGAGAAGCTGAAAGACAACTATCTGTCAAATAGATATCAAAACTTTTGAAGCATTTGCTGCTGACTCATTGTGACTGTGATGTTTTGCTTATTGCAAACCCTAATGAAGCCAGTCTTTTAAAAAATGAATGATGTGGATATTGGCCAACAAAAGGTGCTTCCTGAAAAGAGACATAAGTCTGAAACAATGGAAATTATTGTTTCAGTTACAATGCTTGAGGAATTTTTGTCAGTTCCTACATGACAGAATTCATTTTGAAAAAACAAAACAGAAGAACATAACTCACCTGACAAAAATGACAAAATACAACAAATATCAAATGAAAATATGTCAACTACATTTAATAGAAAGCAATTGCAATTTACAAATTTTAGATTTTAGTTGCCTAAAAGGGAAACCATTTTATATCCATGTTTTTTTAAAAAAAACATGCAGCTTAAAAAAATGTTTATAATATTGCTTTGAATATGAGCCAGGGTGGCACAATGGTTGGAGTGCAGTACTACAGGCTACTTCAGCTGACTGCTGGCTGCCTGCAATTTGGCAGTTCAAATCTCACCAAGCTGAAGGTTGACTCAGACTTCCATCCTTCCAAAGTTGGTAAAATGAGGACCCAAATTGTTGGGGGAAATATGCTGACTCTCTGAAATATATAGCTATATGTATATCATCATCCAAATATAGTCATTTTGGTGTCTGCCTCTAAAATTATTCTCCCATTTTGTCCTGCCTAAAGTAAGACTAATTTAAATAAAGGCTATCTTTATTTTACTGTTTCATGCAAAGTATCTATCAGATACTTCACTCAAAAGGGATCTAAAATAATGAAAACACACACACACACACACACACACACACACACAAACACACATGTCTTTTTGTACTTTTCCAGCAATCGAATTGCTAAATTGTTAGGTTTTCTAAACCGATACCCTGTCCTTACTCAGAGACTGTTCACTGGCATTACAACTGCTTTTTTTGCTGATTACCTTACCCATTGTCTCCTGTGCCCCCACTGCCTGATCTGCTCCCCACAATGCATGCCACTACTGTACTGGGCAGGGCCTTCTTTCACACTGACTTTTTCGGGCAAGTGCAGCTGGGCCATCTATCAATTTCCTGCCCCATCCAGGTGTTCCATGCCATGCACAGAGAGCCTTCTTTTGTGAAAGAAGACAAATATGAGAAACTGTCCTGACTGCCATTGTGAAAGAAGGACTTTTCTAGACAGATCATTTTTTTTGCATCTGGGAATGGCACAAAGGGAGAGCCTAGAAAGCCCCAGCAGCACCAGAATGAAAGAAGGCCACTGCTGGTACAGTAGTGATGTGTGGTGCAATGGGGGCAGCAATGGCAGGCAGGACTGGGCCAGCAGCAATGGATAGGTGGGCAATCAAAATGGCAAAGATATGAGGTATCTTAGGCTACTCAAATACAATCATTTCCATCAAACATGGTGTATTGCAAGACCAACTGTGTGGTTGAAGATGCAGAAAAATGGTAGTTCACCTCCTAAAATTAAGACAGTTTCCAAGAAGTTAAACTATAAAATTATTCTGAACTTCATGGAAGCTGCACCATAGTATTCTGCACAATTCCAATATCCTCCAGATATCTTGTCCTTGACCTCTATTAGCTTGAATGTAGTGTATGGAAATACGAGAGCAACTTATGGAAGAGCATCAGAGTGCCTATTCACAGTATACTTGAAGCCATTGGCAAAGATCATCAGGATGGTACCTAGCTCTATTTCTCCCTCTCATTTGTACCAAATAAGGTTCTACAAACAAAAAATCACTATCTAGGCTTAATTTTGAGTAGAAAAATATAATAAATTTAAACTGAATTTGAACACTGAGGCTTAATATATAAATGGCTTTGGATTTATAAATTAATGCAACAGCTTCAAATAGAATTTACATACATTTATATAAATGGACAACATTATTTAAATCTCCTGCAAAATGAATTACAGACCATTTTGCATAAATGTACTCTGAAATCTGCCATGTTGGTACAAAGATACAAATTAGTTAAATACTTCATGTCTGTATCAGATAATATGATATTTATTAAAATGAATTTGACCACTAGATAACAAGTCTTTATTTATTTACCACAAGAAATCAAAAGCTCACTGTATAACTCCAGAAACAAAATGTCAAGTTTGCTCCTTAAACGACTTTTGTCATGGGAGAATCAAGTATGTAATCATGTTTTTTATTCATTTCTAAGCCAAACTCAAAGTTCTATTGCCTTATAATTCCCTAGGTAACAGAGTTGAATATCTGAATATTGTATGAATTGTCTCATATTTTCAGATGGAACAGAAGAGTAGACATTCATCTTCTTGTCACATCATTATGAGCAACATACATAATGATAACACAAGATAAATCCTTATTTTTTAAAATATTGAAACTTGGCCAAGATTCAGTTAATTATCAAGGCATGACTGCCAAATCTATTGTGGAGAATGTGATTGAGTTGTCTGTAGAGTGTTCATTATGTTTGTTTATTAGAATGTTATATTGTGGATTATTTTAATACTGGTCTTGAACTCAACATATTTATTGAAAATATATGTATAGAAATAAAAAGTGCACAAATTTCCAACATTTTTCATAGACCCTCAACAAAAAATTTAAAAAAGGATAGACTAAAACTCTGATCATCCCTCAAGTTTCTAAGTACCAGAATACTGATGTGTCTCACATTTTATAAACAATTATAATTGTGACTAGCAATTATTTAAAGCAGTTCATGAAGTTAATCACAATGCTTATCACTGGAAATATATTCTATTTTTGGAGTGAACAAGTCAGAATTTTTCAGGATTAGAGGAATACATTATTGTGTGTCATCTGTAGCATTTCTTCCAAAAAGTTGTTTCCTCTTTTCTAATATTTTCAAATAATGTTTTCCAAAGGAAAATATTGTACTGTAATTTAATAGAAAATTAAGATTTCCAAGTATTGCATGTATTTATCAGGGAGGAATTCTAAGTTAATCTTCTTTGCTAATAGGCTTTTTCATGAGAAGAAATAAATACATGGAAGAAATCTTTATACATTTTTATATTTCCAAATTTATGTTAATAATTTGAGAATTATTGGGAATTGTGAATAAAATAAAATAGAAATTCAAACAAATCAGGTCACAAATATGTAACAAATAATAAATGAATTGAAGTCCTAATACACTATGTAATAATGACAAGTTATTAGTTATTTTGAGATAGAAGTGGAAAAACTAAATGAAACATTTTCAGTCTCTTTAATACCCTGATACAAACACTTTAAGGCTATTGGCAATAGCAAGTCTTACCAAAATTATTTTCAATTGCTTGCAAAAGTAATTAGAGACCATTTTTGTAGTATGTATTCTGAAAACTGTAAATCATCTTACAATTGGTACAATGGTACAAATTACTTAAATATTTCATATTTGTATCGACTGAAAATTTCTAAATTCACTGAAAGGAGTTTGATTACTGGAAACTGTGGCTATATTTTTCCTCTAGTGAAATAAATGAAAATCTGACTGTATTACAACTTCATGAACAAGCTTATTATCTGATGATAACTTTACTAATATACACATTATATAAACTTACACTGTAAAATTGACACAAAAGCTCTGCTTGTGTAGTTTAATACAAGTCATTCAAAGCAATTTTGTTAGAAATGCAGAAGCGGGATAGCTGATACCACTCTGTATTAGATTGTTTATACAAGTAATTTATTTAAATGAAGGAACCAATTCACTTCCTAATTACATTTTATGGTTATATACTCATCAGTTTCTCTGAAATTCAGCAATTGAAAGCAAAAGAGCAATAGAACTTTAGAGTAAGTCAGTTGTTTAAACTGTCACAAAAATACACACAGTACATACATAGAAATAGAATCCTAATAGCCAGCTTTTTTCTAAGTTTCATTTCAAATAAATCTTTTCTACTTAAAAATGAAAACACTGAACTGATTTACAGTGGTACAATTTGAAAATTCTGTATCTAGAAACCATAAATATATAGGTATTATATAATAAACTATTTCTTAATTCAGACTTCGAGTTTCCCTTAGTAACCAGAAATTTAAGACTGACTATATTTCTGCTTAAGGGTCATTTGAAGAACACACAGGCTTGGCATTCAGTTACTAATGATTAAAAAACGAACTGGTCCTGATGTATTAATAGGTCAATGAAACTTGTAAGAGCACAAAAATATTTGTGTACTATACTGGTAAAATGGGACAAAATTATACTAATCTGCACTCAGTGGATTATTAGCAATATTAAAATCATTAGAAGCAATAAGGGATTTATTGATGTCTTCTAAAAGTACAATAAGGCATATATTTTAAAACCAGTGTACTATTAGTATATAACATCTACAGTAAGACTGGAAAGTTTAACATAATTACTTCAACATGTTTGAAAACAGAATAGTATTTATCAATCCCATTATCACATTTTCAATGTAGCTTGGAAATTATGTACCCAAGCAGCAACTTACAATATACTCAATAGTTCCCTTTGGCTTTTGAAAAGACATGCGTCTCCCATCTTTCTTGTCTATAGTCTTCTTCTGGCCGGTATCTGAAAGAAATTTAAGCAAAGCATGCATCATTGCATTCATCTTTCACTCATCTCAGAATTATCACACACTGCCGACTACAGCATCACTTGCAGACATGTATTCACCAGTTACATAGCTATCAGCCAGTGAGTCTATGCTCAGCGTAAGACAACTACTTATCACATCAGACTTCATTCCTCTAAATTTACTACACTTTAGTGTTTAGAAATGCTTTAGCTTTATCAATATTAGCAAGCCTTCCAAAATATTATTAAGTCAAAACAAACTAGATGAAAAGTTTTTTTCAATATAGGGCAAGGTTATAACAGTTCTCTAACATATTTGATTAGATTTTCATTACATATAGCCTGCCTGTCATTTGCAGTAAATTAAAATCAGCTTCAGAGATTAATCCTTAACTTTAGCTAGTTTTTCAAACACAGCTGTATAGCACTTTAATGACAAGTATGACCTTTTGTATACAGCTATGCTATTTTTTTGTTTTCTATTGTTAAACATTTAAAAACATTTTAACAAGTGGTAAATAACTCAGAATTGCTGGGAATCATGTTCCATTCAGGATCACCGTTTTGACATGTGAACTCTGTTCAGAAATCCACATTTTCTCACTGATCAAACATTAAGCAAACTTTATCTGATTAAGTTCTTTTTTCAACTTATAAGAAACTAAACTCCTTAATAACTTCAAGTCTCTTTAGTAGGAGACTAAAAAAAAAACGGAGAAAAAAAAGAGTCTGACCCTTTTCTCTATTTGCTCATCTCAGAACATATTTACATTTATATATAGACATGGATGAGTTGGAACAGAGATATAGTCTCTAAAATGTCTATGGAGATTATCAGTCATCCAGGTCATAGTTGCCCTAACTATGTGCTTTTTCAAAAGGCAACTGGACTTCTTTGTTTTTCTTTGAAGACGTTTCACTTCTCATCCAAGAAGCTTCTTCAGCTCTAGGCTCAGTTATTCTTGCGGTTTATTATTTGTATGTCCCCTTCAATTATCAAGATAACTGGTTTCATTTCTAAACCCAATGTGGTATCTATTCCCATATCACTCTTATATTCTAGTGTTTACATTTTCATATCTACATCATCTTTTTTAATATCACTTTTATAATTTGGCATTTTTTAAAAATCCAAATCTACATTTAATCAGTTTCAGTTTTATCCAATGAAGTCTGTTATTCTTCTGCACCCTCTGTTATAGTATCAGACAATCTTGGAGATTTGTTCCCAAATAGCCTTAATTTCTTTTATAACTGAAGAGTATTGCTCCATATATTAGTGGTCTCTTCTTTAATTGTAATTCTTAGTTCTCACTGGTTCTGTCTAACCAGCCTTCAAAGTCCATTCTTATCATCTGTCTATTTTCAAATCAGCAAAACTTTCCCATGGAAATATTTCCTATAGTTAATTTCAAACTCTATGAATATTATTATAAAACTTTAGCCATTCAAGTCTATCCTTAACTTTTAAAAGTCAACATCCTAGTCCCTCATTTGCTGTATTCCAGAAATTAATGTTGCTTTTAAAAAAACCTTAAGTTTTCGTAAAATATCTTTCAATCAGGATAGGAGGAAATTCTCAGTGTAATAAACCATTTCCCTTGGAAAGTTCTTAACATCTAGAACATCAATAACAAGCATCTTCCTAAAGCAGTTATAACAGGAAATGGGTGACCCACTGTTGGGTTGTTGTTTTTTTGAAGCTCTGAACTGCAGCTTAAGCAGGATGTTTTCCCCGACTCCTACAACTCTCAAACCCACTGGAGATTACTATTTTATGATCTCTTCACAGAGAGATCTTGTACAGAGCAATCTTGTGGTTGATCGTTGGCTGTCCTTGATCTGGAGAGAACTTACGAGAAGCCAATTCACACACTAGCTCATTTTTTTTGCCATGGCTGTTTGTCTCCCAAAAGTTGAGCCTTCTTCATATGCCACCTCTCTTTCCATAAAAGACTCTAATCTATGCTGCATGATACTAAATGCATTAGAATGTAACACTCCAACTTAACGTTGGCAGCATGTGAAATTAGTGTTGCACAATAGTATACAATGTTAAGTCTTATTTTTTTTAGTACTGGTACCTAGACTGACCCTTTCCAAAGAGGCCGCTGTAACGTTTTCCAGACTTGATTTGGTTTGAAGCTTTACTGATTTTTTGCTGCTGCTTGACATATTTCTGAGAATATTCTATCAATTTCTATTTCTGAAGATATGGCGTCAATTCCTCTAGTCCTCCAATTTGGCAATGACCAAGTGTTGACCTAGCTATATTTTCTAATATTAGAAGTTCATGTAAACAGGGAATACCTTCTGGGATATTGATATTCTTATCATATAGACTTTCAAAAACTCCTTCAATCTTTGATTTTGTACAGGTTGACCTTTATCGCTTGATCTTTTAGAAAACACTACGTGTTTGTTCCCAATTAGGGATGTTGTAATACAATACAAGATGAAATATTACCAAGATAACTATAATCAGTTCCTCCAAACTATTAACAGGTTGAGGTAAACATATCAGAGACAATCATTTAAAATTTTCTATTTACTAGATCTATGCATTTAGAGAATTTGACTTTCTCCCTTACAAATTATCTTGCATGGAGACACAATCTGAAATTTAAGATTTGAGTATACAGTATTCAGTAATATATTAAGCTATATATTTTTCTTGAATAAAGGATATTTTAAATATTATTCTTTTATGCATCTGGAATTAAACTCCATTATTTGGGCCCAGGTTTCAAAAATTAATTGAAGAATCTTATTATAATTCTGAAGTATTAAATTATATTTTTACAATGGAGTTTTTGTCTAATTTTTTAAAGTTTTTTTCACAATTAATGGGAAAAATCTATGGACAGGTTGTAAATAACTTCTTAGGCTTATATAATTAACTTGTACTACACCATTTAAAAATGTTTTATTGCAACAAGTGACTCACAACCAAACAAGCCTGTTTGAAAGACATATAATTTTAAAATGATTTGCTCTGTAGTGAGAGCGCTATAAAGATTAATGGAATGCAAGTTTTGGGTCCTCTTTTATGCTACCAATGTGCCTTTTCTTTAAATATCTTTATTTAAAAAGTAAATCCACACTGTACAAGGTATTGCACCATATGAAATGAATAAGCACAATTTGCTACAAACTAAAGCATTAGCACAGAAAGTATTCTAGAATATTGTACAAAAATTTCCTAGCTTGCATTTTATCTTCCACTTTTAGTTGTTTAATAATAACTTCTTAGTGTAAATTTAGATTCAAAGGGCATTATGAAACCAGCATTTTTATAATTAATATAGCTTTTAACCAGCATAACAATATCATAGAAAATAAAATAAAATTTAGAATATCAGTCATTGATGGCACAGGGCCTGATTATTTGGATTGTTCATCTCCAATAATTTCTCCCCACCTAGTACAGTCAAGCAGAATAGATATGTTCCAGGTCCCTCAATTAAACAATGTTACTGTGTAGGACTGAGAAAGCAAGTGTGCCTCTATTCTCTGGAACACCCCTCTCTCTCCAGAAGCCCTCATTCCCTTGGGGATCTTAAAGGAAGGCTTCCTTTAAGATCTGATTGTGTCCTTGGGGGGAGGGACAGGGCTATCATACTTTTATTGGCATGCTTCCTTTTGAGTAAGGCTGCCATGTTATCATGTGGTCAGCATGAAAATACAGAAACACAGTAACCTTTTCGCCAAAGGATGCCTATTAATCTACTCACATTTGCATGCTTTCCAACTGCTGTAACATCTGAACCTAGATGAACTATTTATTTAAACTATCACTAGAAAGAGCCATATAGGATTTCAAACTACTATTTGATAATTTTCCCAACTCAGTGGTGGGTTGCAAATATTTTTACTACCAGTTCGGGCTTGCTCCCATGTGCACTCACGTGCAACACTTTGTTCATGCACATAAGTATCATGGCAGGTGGGCGGGGCCTCCCACTGCCGCTACTACCACTGTCCCAACTACAAATTAAAATAACAACAAAGCTTGTTTGTTCATCACACAATATTGAAGTCAATTACAAAGTAAAGATTTTAACTAAAATCAAAAGGTTGTCACTAATATTCTGGCTACAGTTGCCTGTAGTTAAATTCTATCCCAGGCCATTTTCAACTTAGGATATCTATACCAAACCATAATCTAAGCATAGCCATTCTAGATATGAATTTTGGAAAAAAACAATTCACCCCTCAAACACAAATTACCTTATATTTTTGAAAATAGATTTAAAAAGTAAATAAAAATTTAAATGCAAGAGCATTAAATTTACTTTTGAATAGTTGGATAATTCTAAACTATACAAATTGCTTTTGTAGATATTGCAACTACTTTATGTTTATGTTATTCTTATTATTCTTAAACATACTAAAGTACATAGTAGAAAATAATCCTTGAGATTCTATTTTAATGTAACATTGGATTCAAGAATACATGGACATTTTATATTATGTAACTTTCTTATCATTCACTTGGACAAAAAGTCTGTGTTAACTTTTAACATGCCTATTAATACCTTCGCTAAAAAATAAATAATTTTTCCCAAAGCTACAAAACTATTAAAATTTTAAAAAGTAGAATACACTACTTTGCACAAACAGTCAATGACATTTTCTGTTCAGACATGGCTGTGGCTACACAATGTTATGATGCAAACACAGAAGCAGGCAATGCATGGCCCATAAGGAGAAAACATGATTACAGCTACTTTAATTCAAAACAAAACCACAAAAGGAGAAGCTAAAAAGTTCAGGACCCATGCATTAGTGACTTCCTTGCTTCACTGCCATATCTCCTGTAGTTTCTCCAATCAAAGCAAAGTGTTCTAGGTTTAAAGTTCTACTTACCTTTATAATTTACATATTTACGCCATTCTAATCTACAGCCCACTAGTTACAAGATACAGTTATTAGTTATTATGCTTTTTTGTCATGTGGCCAGCCCTCTACAATAGCATTTTCTCAACAATCCTGATAATCAGGCATTAAAAAGTTGAATATTTGCTCAGACCTTTGATCAGGCTGACAGATAAATCCATGTAAGATTTTATTTGGGACATTCTATTTCTGTTTTATATGCATGTACTGGGATGCATCATTTATCTTTATTATTTGGTGTTGATTATATACAGTATCCAGAATCAAGCAGAATCAGTTTGTTAAAACCTATATACATAATAAATAAAACATGCCTTCACACATCATGGTAATACAAAACAAACCAGATTACAGCATGTACTTAAACTGCTTGTTAACGTTTTTGTTGTTGTTGTTGTTTTTCTGGTGATTTTGTTTTGTGTTTCTACACCACTCAGAGCCATATATATAAGGCTATGTAAATTTATCAAATAAACAAACCATATTTTGAGTTAATGTAATGTGTAAACTGCAGTAATAGGAACAAGGCTACTATGGCTTGTTTAAATAAACTAAGATGTGATGTGTGGATCCAGAAATTACTATTCAGTGGGATTCAAAAGCAAAGGCAGAGGCAGAAGGTATAGCTGCTACACTGAGAATTTCTCAAGGACAGTGCTGATATTCATTTTCCCTGCTGTATCAAAGAAAAAGAACTGAAAAAAGCTACCAAAGTTTTCTGGCAGGAATAGGACAGTGTATTTTAAAGTGTGATCCTAGTTTCCCTGGAGGTTTCCCAGGACGATCTCAAGGTGTCTCAAAACCAAAATTACCTGCCAGTCTACCTTGAAAAAAATAATACACAATATTAAAATCCCATCAAACAATTGTGAGAAACAATAAGGCTGCAAATGTGTCCATTTTAATTTATAATCTGGTAAAATATTGATAAATACAGACCACGTAAACAAAAACTTCCATAATTTTTAAAAGAGAGAAAAAAGTTAAAGAAACACTGTAATAGGCTGTCCCACTTAGCAAATAAAATAAAATAAAGCACCAGTGGTGACTTTTCCCCCCTACTCTGGCTTGGGCCTTCTTCCCATGACTTCCACTCCTTAAACAAGGAAAATCTTGGCAAGGCTGGGGAAGATGGGTCACAGACTAGCAGAGGAGGGAAGGAGGAGAGACAGACAAGTACAAGACGTTGGAAAAAAATAACCTTTCAGTTGCAAAAGGCCAAATGTAGCACCAGAAGAGAAGAGATGGGGTTCCCCCCCCCTTCAATTTTGTCCCAAACTTCAATACGCACTCGCGTGTCTCCCTTGAATTCAACCCACTTCCTCATACTCCAGGTCCCTCTCCCTTTTCTCCCCTTTTATGTAAACACACATAAAAATCTCACACGCGCAAAGCTTTATTGTCAAAACCAGTCCAAATACACCAAAGGGGCATTGGATCAAAGCTGCAGGGGAAGGGAAGGCCCAGTTTCAGCGCCTGCAACCCGCCTTCTCCAACCAAGCTGGGAAACACAACTTTTCAGGGGTCGCGCATTCTGGGAAGTGTAGTCCCACATGAGGGAGGGAGTGAAGGACGGACGTTTTCTCTCTCTCTCTCTTCGACTGACCAGCTACGAAGCAACCGGGGAAACCCCTCTCCTTCTCCTCCTCCCTCCTGAAACCCGCCGGCCCAGCTGGGGCCAAGTGTTTTTGCCAAGCGGGAGGCCTTACCGGGCGGCGAGGGCGTCCCGTCGTGTTGGGAATCCTGGAAGTGGACTTGGCGGAGGCTCCCCGCGCCGGGGACGGCGCCCCAGAGGCGGTTGGCGGTTCCCCTCAGCAGACGGCCGCTCTTGCCCGTGAAGGTGGTGAGGTACTCCATGGGGGCTCCGGAGCTAGGAAGCGGGACGAGTTCGGGGAACTACCGCGCTGCGCGGAGCGTGCGCGACACCCTCATGGCGGACTAGAAGCCGAGCTCGGAGCGGAAACGTAGAGCCGCGCGGCCGGGGAAGAGGGGGAAAAAAAGTTAGGCAAAAGTTGGGGCTGACGCCGCCTCAGGACTCCGGCGCTGAAAGGAACCGAGCGGCGCGGCTAGGGTGGGTGTGGCTGGAAGGAGGCGAGGCCTGGGCCCGCTTCCCCCGAGTTTCTCAGCGAAGATCCCCGCAGGGCTGGACACGCGCGTGGGTGAAGGTGAGGACTTTTGCACGCGTGTCTCTCACCTCCACCCTCTGTCTCTGTTTCTCTCACGCGCGCACACGCCCTCCCTTTAGGAGGTGACTGGACACGTGAGTGGAAGGTGAGGACTCTTGCACGCCTCTTACTCACCCTCTCCCTCTCTTTCACACACACCACACCAACACAGGCGCGTGTCCTCCCCTTGGCACTTACGGCTTGTGAATTTCTCATTCTGCCTGGAGCTGTAGGAATTAAGAGAGGGATGGGAGAATAAATCTTGGGAGCTGTAAACCAGCAGAGGAAATCTAAAAAAATAAAAAAATAAATCCTGGAATCCTTCTGTGAAGCTGCTAAGGAAACTATTTCAGTCACAAGGAGTTGGGAGAAAGCTTTTGACCTCAACAAAGATACAGCCCAAATAAAGATGGCACTTTCTTCCCATCTCTCTCTGAAATAAAAAAGAATGCCCAAGTGGTAAATTAGGTATTTCCATCAGGATGTATCAGGTCGACTTAAAAGTATCTTTTAAGTCATAGACATCATATGTCAGTGTACTGAGGATTTGTCTGGCTTCCACAAAATTTGTAAACTAAAACTTACATAGCAAGCATAGGTAACTGAAAGAAAATATGTTCAATTGACATATTTAGGGACACTTGTTATGATTATGTAACTGCACCTTCCTAAGAATATGATTCCATGTGTGCTTACTCAAAAGTAAAAGTGAGTTTCGTTATCCTTACTCTAATATTAAAATATTGCACGCTGAGGCTCAGGCTTGAGAGATATGCTGCTATGCCAAAAGGTTCATATAAATAGTTCAAAAGCTTAGCAACCTTTAAGATAAATTTGAAGGAAGTTAAAGAAGTAAGAGAAAGGAAGCAAGTCATTTGTGTAATAGTTAAAATAACCTACAGTTTCAAGAGATCCTCCAGAACCAGGTGCAAAAATCAAGGAGTTCATTGCTACCTTTAAGAGCTATCAGTAAACGTTAAAGGGAGATGCAATTGGTTGTTGCTTATAAAAAAAAAGAATGCAGGACTATATTGGTTTTTTAATATATGTCCCACCAATATAGAATAAAATACCAGAAATACTATATTAATGGCATACTGCCCTTCTCTGAGCTACATGCAGAAAATAACAGTAATAATTGGTTTTAGCATAATTGCTAAATTATATAAAATACTCATAAAACTATTTTGACTTAATTGAGAAGAAGCCCTCTACAGATGCAATACAACAATTTTAGAACTAAATATAGTCTTTCACACTTAACTCTCAACACCCTGCTACAGTGCCTCAGGAAAATCAAAGAACTAAAAACAAGACAAAAATGTGGTTGAATTTGATCTCGCGGCACTCTTTATGTCCATAGATCCAAAATTAGTGAAAGATCCACGGCAGCAGTAGTACACAACACACCCAGTTTCATCAAAAGATGTCTGACCACTCAACCCACTACAGCAGAACCAATGCATAAGAAAATATACCAAAACATCCGACAGATTATTAAAATGACATGGCCATAGAACACAAATCAATTAAAGCATCTTAAGTAATCAAAAGACCCAAGGGTCACCTACAAAATACAATGTGAGAACTGTAACAGCCACTACATAGGACAGACAGAAGACTACCAGAGCACCAGGGACGTGCAGTCACTAGAGGCAGGGGAGGCAGGGCCTCACCAGTCTCCTGAGGGAAGGGAAGAATTTTAAATAATTTTTTTTAAATAATTAAAGCCAGGGTAGTTGCTACCAGATTCAAAGTCACAGTAGCTTGG